GGTATGGTGCGCCACATCTACCGGGAGATGGCCGAGGCGGCCGCCGCCAACCCCAGAGGTAAGCGGTGGCCTGCCGGGGACGGCTCTCCGGCCGCTGCCCCTCGCCCCTCACTTGCCCTGGGATGGGGAAGAGTTAGCCGAGGTTGCCTGCCCGGGGGGGGTATAAAGCACCCCGTCACTCGACTATTTATTTAAATAACAAAATATAAGTAAGAATTTTCTCTTCCCCCCCCCGGTCTCTGTTCTTTAGTAGCTGGAGATGGAGAGAAAGATGCGCTGCCCCACTCCAGCTTGCAGGTTTACACGTACACCTGCGACGTGGGCAAAAGAGAAAACGTCTACTCGACAGCTGAGAGGGTCCGCAAAGAGGTTGGCGAGGTGTCCGTCCTGGTTAACAATGCTGGTGTCGTCTCTGGGCACCATCTCCTGGAGTGTCCTGATGAGCTTATTGAGAGGACCATGATGGTCAACTGTCATGCACACTTCTGGGTAACTATAAACTCCTTTCTGCCACCGTTTTTGTCAGTTCATTGGGGGAAATTAACTGCTGTTGCTTAACTCCTGTCTCTTTGAGTTTTGTACTTGCTCCCTTTCATTTAAAAGCTCACCACTTTGTGGGTTTCTTATTTTTCAGTCTACCATTTAACAGGAATGGTGGGTAATAACTAAGAAAAAGTTTTAAATCAACTGTATCTGCCTAGAACCTAGAGTTCTAAGTCTCGTGCCCTTTTCTGTAGCCCTGGATATGAAATCCTTTGCGAGCGTAACCTATGAATCTGCTTAAAGGCTGTTTCTGTTAATGAATGACTTGTCAGGCTTCTTCTGGCTAGTCTTATGCCAGTGTGTTAGCAGCTTTAAGATGCTGTTTTAATGATGGTCACAAAAGCACACTTGCACATTTCTGGAAAAAATACTTAAAACCCCTGCTGGAAATGTTGCTTGAATTGCCTTGGAGGCAAATTGCTCCTTTTGAAGGCTGGGAGGAAAGGCGAAAAAGATCTCTCAAGAAATCAAGCCAAGAACACTTTTTCAGGAATCCTGCGTATTTGTCCTCATAGCTTTCTCTGAGGGCTGCCAGTAGAAGAAAGAAAATCTTTAATATGGTTTCTGGGGTGATATTGTCTCCGTATCTGGCAGATGCTAATCAAGGAGAACAAGCTACATGATCTTGCTCTTTTTGTCTGTCTAAACCCTGTTTTCTTGTGTTTTTATTTTTAAACCCACAGTAGTTTGGAGTTACATAAATCGGAGTGTCGAAGGAGGGCATGATGCACACTCGGGTTAGCATTAGCTGTCAGACTGAGCCCATTGTTAGCATTAAAACTGTTCTTTGGTCCTTCAAATAAGGTTATGAAATACACTTGCATAACAATCAAAGGATTAAGCAATCTGAAATATACTTCAACTTAAGCCTTCTTTGGCTGGTCTTACCTTCTCATAATAAAATTTTGTGAAATGTCTCATCTTCAAAACTTAGAAGGTCCTCCCAAACCAAACTTTTTTTGAACATGGAAGTGAAATGCTGTTTCATAACCCTAAAGGAGCCCCTTCAAATCTGCGCTGTGAAACACTTAATAGCAGAGCTGTCTTTTTCCAATGTATTGTAAAGCTTGCGGAGAGAGTGCTTAAACCTCAGTGCACATGAGATAGTGCATTTAGAAACTCTTTTAAACTGTGAAAGTATATTTTAAGGGAATTTGAAAAGTTCTGAGAAAGCTCATAGGACTTCTACAACTGAGAGCTCTGCGTGTTCCCCTTCATAAAAGTTAAACCGATGCTTAAGCAAACAGAGATGTGCACTAGATTTAATGACTGTTATTGATGTGGTTTAAATGCCGAATTGACAAAGTTTCCAAGAACTCTAAATTATGACATCACCATGAATTAAAATATGGGAGGATCCTAAATTCTCCAGCTGTTCTTCCTTCAGGCCCAAGTCATACACTTATTTATAACATTGTTTCAGAGACCTTTTTAAAGCACCCTCTGTGTGTTCTGAGTCTCTTACAGTAATAGAAAACTAATCTTAGAGTCTAGTATTGGTATGACTGGGTTTCCATAACAGTTTCATTCATCTCTAAAGGTTAGTGTGAAGTAACTTTAAAATTAAAAAAGTACTCCAAGAAGGTATAGTTAGATCTGAACTGTGGGACTTGAGGTCTTGGCTTAAGCTTCTAAGGAGCAGTCAACACCCTTTATATTTAATTGAGGATCTGTTCATATGTACACTTCCTGCAGATCCTGTGTCCTGCTTTGCTTTTCCTTTTATTTTTTTGCTGTTGGCAAAGCTTTTTTTCCTTGTCTTCTCCTTCATGATCCCAGGAAAGGTTGGCTTGATCAACAGTGGGTGGACTTCTATTAAACTAATAGTACTTAATTCATAAGATATCATCTGAATCAGCTGATTTTAAGCCAACTTTTTTGATGCAAGTCAATGATGACTTAAATAGAACAATGTGTCTAGATGTGTGAAGTCTTACATAGCTAGTCTTTTCCGTGTCAGCTAAACTGGTGGTCCAAAAGCAAAGCTAATACTCTGGAGCATTATGTAGACTTTTAACTATTCTTGGATGGTGTTTCGTCCAAAAAGCTGTAAATGGATTTTATAAAGACATGGCTCTTCCATGTAATATTGCTTCAGTACTTAAGTGTTTGTACTTTCTGGGTTTTGGTTGGGTGCTTTTTTTTAATGTGTGACAGGGGAAATTCTTTGTCATCCCTTGATCGTTAATCAAGCCTCAGTGTGCTTCTGTATAAAAAACTAAAATGGGGGTCTCCTACTGTCCCCTTGAAACCTCTGAAATAAGATTGATTTCCTGCTTTCCATGCAGAATGCAGGTGATCTGAGCTTGCTTTACATTAGCAGCTACAATCTGAAGGCAGCCCGACTTCTGCAGTAGGCAGTAACGTGCTGTTGTGACTCCAACTGGGCTGTGTACCATATCACAAACTGGCAGTCAAGAGAGCCTTAGCAGCATGCCACAGCCTAAACAGATGCTTTCCATTTTTGCTGACATTCATGATTTGTATAATCCTTCCTGTGAGTGTTCTATATAAACATGTCACCACTGCATCATGTAGCAATTTCCACAGCATAAAATCCACTGCAGTATTAAAAACCTGTTATTTCATGCTGTGATAACTTGAATGCTTCTGATATTGAAAACATAGGGACAAAATCCATTCCTGGTTTGAAACAAGCCAGCTCTGGTTTACTACAATTTGCAGATGCATAAAATTGTAGCAGGAGTGTAACACTATCTTTCCTGCCAGTCTATTGAAAGAATAATAACTTACTTGGTTGCACTTGTCAATTACTGGAACTGAACTTCTGCAGACTAGGAAATGTTCTTCCTGTGATATGTCAAGATTCAGATCTGAAAAATCTTGAATTGCAGTATAAGATAAAGCTGGTGCTTAATCAGTTTTAAGCAAATTTAGGAACAACAGTTTTTCTTTCTTGTGGTTTTACAATAAAGCTTAAGTGAAGTATCAAAATACTGTGTTTTAGATTGTGGAACTGTATTTAATAAAACTACTGTACAAACTTTTATTTCAGAACAATTTGAGATTCTTGTACCTCCTCTAACACTTTTTCTGGAAGAATAATGCTATTGCTGTATAAGTAGGTATTAATATTGTGCATCTGCTTAGTACCTGGGGAGTCCTTCTAGATTTGGTTGTTGAATGGGACTCATGGAGGGGCAGGGGCAAGGCAATGATCAGGGTCTCTAAATTCTGTGACATGAAGGTCCTTTTGTACAGCAGATCTTCAGTATTCAGCTCTGAGAGAAGAGTGATCTGTGTTTCCCTGTCACGCGGATCCTCCAAAACTTTCAGCCTAAAGCTCTCCTCCTAGAGGAGTTCTCTTCAACTTACCAAAAGGGGGAAGCAAAAGCATTCAGCTCCAGCGTTTTTATATTTATAAAAAAAAAAAAAACACGTAGTGAGAGACTAGGGCCCAGACTTTGAAGACTTGTGTACTGCTGTCTTAACTGCACTAGTTATGTTCATTTGCTTACAAACTACTTTATTTTTGAAGTTATGCAGGTATATTTGTCTTTTTAGAAATGGAACAAATCTCTTTGGTCTGACAGTGGTACAGGAAGAGATAAATACTGAGTAAAGAGGGGAAATACTACTCAAGTAATTAGGGCATTCATAAATAATCTAAAACTTAATGTACCTTGGAAAGAAAGTTAATGCAGAGTTAATAAATCGAATACCTCTTTATGCAACTGCTGTAGCTGTCAGTCTAACTAGAGCGTGAGGATTGCTAAAGCCCTGAAAAATAACAGTGGCTTATAGTCATCTATAATGTGTCAATACTTATGTATTGTTATTCTAGACTCTTCAAGTGCCCTGGTGTTAAATAAAGCTTGCTTACGCCTATAGTTTGTTTAGTTTAAATATGGAAGTATTGCACTTAGCATGCACACTGAATCTTCTACAGAAGACAGCTTAAATTGTTATTTGAAAATATAGCAGGCCATGTCTTTTGTGGCATGTTGACATAGTAGTTTGATTTTTGTCTTCATCTCTAGGATTCTAGTGTCTATGATCAAATATAGACACAGTATTTCACTGACAGGCCAGCTAGCTATATTTAGCATTTTGGATTATTTGAATTAGCTGCTTTAATTGATTTATTCTTTTTATTTCCTGATAACACAATCCAAGATGCATAAGTTTACTTACAAAGTTTAATCTACAAGCTCTTGCCTTTTTTCTTTGAAAAATGAGTTGGATTGAGTTCAAGCAACACATGTGCATGTGATCCAAAAAGTGTCATCAAAACTAACTCTTCCCTCACAAAATGATTCCAACTACATGCCACCAGTAAATTACCCTGGACAGCACATGTGTTTTATATACTGTGGTATCATGCTGGGCAGTGAATATGAAGCAAAAAGCAGTCAAGACTCTTAGCTACGGAAATAGTCGTATTAGTCGTACTTAAAAGTTTCAAGTGCTGTGGTATGGTTCTGCAGCTCATATGTTCTTGGGTTTATTTCTCAAGAAAATAGAGGGAATCTATCAATTGAGAAAATACTGTATTCCAGATGCATTTTATAGAGGGAAGTAGTTAACACAAGTTTCAGAAAATAAATGGGTGTACGTGTATTTCTGGAGCTTGAGTGGGCACAAGACTGCCGGCTCAGAGCTTTCCTCGCAGATTTATTTTATGGTCTGTTAGGAGTTTGTCTACCATTGTGTCAATCACAGTTGTTACCACCATGCAATCTTCTAATTTTGTAACCTGTATCTTGCAATCTGTATGAATCTGTAATCTAGCCTTGTAGTCACATTTTAGTTGTAGTGTTGGTTTTTTTTTTTTATTTTAAATTGGTCTTTTATTAAAGGTTTTTCAATTTTCTGATCCTTTTAAGAGGAAAAAAGAAAAATGACAAAAAACCACCAAACCATTGAGTTAAATGTCTAAGCTTTGCCTGTGGGAGGAATCTTGTATCAGTTTCAGAGTAGACACA